GCTTCAGCTGAGGGAGGGTGTTACAGGGAGCCACTTGTCAGTGTCCCAGCTCCGCACTGAGGAGAGCCACAAAGTTTACAGAGGTGGCAGGGAACAGCTGCTCTCAGGAGGAGCATGATGTTGATGGCTTCTTCTTCCCCAGTCCAAGGACCCCCAGCTGAGTTAACACACTCTGACTTTATTCATCTGCAGCTCCATTCTACATCCACATTTACTGCACAATGTATACATCTGCTTCAGACTTGCTCTTCCATCGCTTTTGGTTTTTCCCAGCTCCCAAACTGCACTTCTTTACCAACCACCGGTGACCTCTTTACAGCACTGGGGTCCCCAGTAAGGGGGACATCCCAAGTACCCTCTTTTCACCCTCTGCTTCCACACTCCCATCCTGTGCCCCCACTTGCAAAACCTCTGCTATCACACCGTGGCGATGCTCCTCTGCACTACACCATTCTGTGAGGGTCACAAATACATCATTATACACGTAATAACTATTTGCTACTACTGTCTGCTGAAAGAAATGTGGTTATACCACACAATTATACAAGGACAAGCCAAAAGGAAACTAACTAAGCAGTAACCACCCAGTAACTAATAAAAAAGATACTGGGTATGGGTTTACAGCTAAGTAAAGCCAAACAAAGCTCCATGTAGGCAAAGGCACGTTCAGACAAAACCTGACAAGTCCTGAGACTTGCAAGGTTGTGTGAAACCTGAAGTCTGCATCAGAACGGACATGCTAAAGACTCAAAAATCAGATTTGCAAAAGCAATAGGTGCTTTGCTGAGGCCAGATTTGCATCCCCTAAAAAAAGGGGAGGAAGAGAATTTTTGGGTGTGCGGTGTAACTTCTGATCTTCCAAAGAACAGCCCAGGTGCAGAGAAGATGCACACCCACCCACCAGAGGAAGATCACAACAAGCCAAGCTTTGCTTATCAACAATCTTCTTTGTTGAGGGAACAAGCCATTAACAAGCAGATCCTGCAAGGTGGGGTAATGCTTTTTATCATGTCAATGTCCTCTCCTGATGAGACTCAGGTGTAAAACCACCCCGGGGGAGGTATTGGGACATTCACATGTAAGCCTGAAGGTATTCATTGGTTCTCTAAGTCACAACTGACTCAACCTGTGCAGTCATGAGAAACAGTGGCCATGTCTTAGGGCCACACATCTTCAAAGACCCCTGAAGCACTCCCACACTGTGCATGATCCACAGTATTTCATAGTGTAAAACTCCATTCCCGGTGGGGCACCTGGGCCTTCCCACCTGAACATATATTAACCCACTGAATCATTTTCTAGGGGATTTCTCCACCCCAATGGATAAAGACCATGACCACAACTTTGTTCAATAGACACTGAAATTGCAACAATCAAGTCTCAGTGTTGGATCCACAGGTGATGACCTTTCCTCTCCTTTTTATACTTACCCTTTCTTTATTTTCCTTGTAAATTTTCCTAAACGATATTTTTATATTTATATAATTTTATTTCTATAAATAATAACCAAAGCGGATATATACCTCCTTTCCAATGTAGCCAAACTGTTCTGAAATAAACCTGCCATGTGTATACACACTGGTCATTCAGTCTCCTTTCACTTTAATCCACCCCAAGGGATTTAGTAAGAACTGTCACTTAGGCCATCTCAGGGGTGGGTTAAAACAGCCTGTCCCTAGTGTGCAGAAAATCACTCTGTGAAGAGCCACTGTCCACAAAGAAGACAGGAGTCCTACAACTTTATTCAAATACACCCATGGGGTTTGTCTCTTGAGGTGTCAGAGGACATAGCCTCCTTTTATCCTAAAATCCCAGCCACACTGCCCTCTTCCTTTCCCCAGTGGCTGCGGTACTAGGAAGGTACAGCCTTCCCAAACCGCTTACCACATTCCCCCCTTGAACACGTCATTCTCCTCCAGAGTTTAGAAATTTAAGCTATATAGGTTCTGCAACAGACTTTGTGCTGACCCATTTGTCTATTACCCTTAAGTTCAGGAGTCAAACTGCCTGGGTTCTGTAGCTTGAGGTTGGCAGAGGTACTAAGACCTATTTCAAAGACATTAGCATCCATTTCTCCTTAGGACACTCACTCATGGAACTGTTTGTGAAGACACTGGCACTCATCTTTGTCATCACAATTTCAAAACAGAACTTAAGAGTGCAAACGATCTGCTTTAAATTCTGTTAGGCACACGGTTGCATGTTTAAATTTCAAACAATACATACACAGAGATGAAAATGAAACCGTGCATTCTATCAGGAATGCATCTCCATGACTATGGACACTGCAAACCATTTATATTTTTTTCTCATCTGAAACCAGCTGGTTGTCTAGGCCATATCATTTCAAAGGAAAAAAACATGTAAGATCAACCTTCTGTTTCCAGTCACACATAACCACTCTGTGGACTTTTAATCCAATCTAGAAACACATACACAAAGAAGGCAGGAAAATAAAAGCCATATTTACAATCATAATTAATTTTATATTCTGCATTTTGTGCTATAGAGGGTTAGAAGCTCAAATAATTCGTTGACTATCTCTTCTTTCATTGTATCTTCCTGTGACAGAGACTTCAAACAAATTATTAATATTTTTTAAAAATGCAGAAGGTAAGTATGATGGCTGGAGAGACATGATCTTCCCAGAAACCAATGCCTAGGACAATCAAAGATATAATTAAACATACTTTTAGGTATTGCAAACACTTGGAAGTGGCTGGTTAAGACTTGTAGACTGGAAAGGAAAAATTCTGAAGTGGTATGCTTTGTTCCTCTGTGCATGAAACTTGAATTATCTCAATTACTGAGAACAGGGGTTGCTTAATTCCATTCAGCTCATTGATTAATGTTAGATTTCTGTACAAGTTGTGAAGTGGCATAGGACTGATCCAAAACAGGCATGGGCAACCAACTGTATTTCTGTTGAATTAACCATGATGAGGTGTTTATGGTGCCTTTATGCACTTAATGCCTGTTGTGGGAACACTGGCAGTATAGAGTTTATCCAACACAGACCCAGACCAATAAAGACACTGCCTGATTGAAGATAAAGCCTTTCAAAGCAGTATTATGATAAATAGTGTTCTGAATTAGCAAAGTGACCCTGCACTGTGTCAATATTTTGCAACAATTCTACCGTTTTTCCAATAACCATGTCATCTTTGATACACTACTAGAAGTCATAAAATGATAAAACTACAGCTTCAGTTTCCTATAGATATTAAAAGAACACTCTCAAGAAGATAATTCTGATTGACAAGTACATAAATAAACATTAACATGAGATATAATGAAACTCTTGACTTTTTTATTAACATAAGATTGCAGAATGGAGGCAGAATTATCAGGTACTACAGGAAAAAAACCTAGGCACATTCATACAGTAACCATGATAAATAGAAATCATCATTATGTAGATCACAATAAATACATTAAAAACTTGAACCCATTAAATACACTGAACTTTACATGCTCACAGAGAGCACAAACTTCAAGATATGTAATAGCCACAATCTTGTAGTCCTCAGCATTAGATAAACTACTTCAGTCAACATATAGCAACAGCACTAACAGAGGGAAGATGGGAACAGAATATGAAGTTTTTCCAAGACTTAACTAGATTGGAATCAGTGGAGAACATCAGTAGAGGGAAAACAGGATGACAGGTACATGCCTGAAGCTTACCTGAAGCTCACATAAAACCACAAGCTGACACACAGAGCTAGTAAGAGAAGAGTGTGTCTAGACACAGGCCTGTAACCAGCAGGCAGTGCAAACACCCCTGTAGAGGAAGAGGAACCTCTGGGCTTGGAAATAGTAGTGAGTAAAAGGATAGAGTGCAGCCTATTTCCACTCTTTCACACAGACTGCAGGGACAAGGTCTTCATCCTTCACCACAAGACAATTGTGCAAGATTATGCCAGGCAGCAACAAATAAAGATGGCATGGCAAGTGACAGCAACATTTTCATCAGACCATGAATGCCCTTCAGCACATGTGATGAGGGGAGAGACAGGTGCAGAGGGAAATGGCTACCAGAACAACTGATCCAGACAATAGTGGACAATTACCAACACCAGAGAATCGTCTGGGATACACATGTAAGTTCTTCTGCCATATTAGAGCTGGCTCTTGAGTCAAAGATTTCTGCTTCCTGACAAACTACATCTTACAGGGTCAGATAATAATTGTGAAGTTTTTATCTGATAGAAACTGAGTAGTAGTAACTAGAATTAAATTAATTTCTTGCTTTTCTAGCATTTTTTAAATTACAGCTAATGCGGTAAAAAAGCCACAGGAATGACATAAAAAGCTTTTAGTCATAAAGAAATCCCAGAAAGAGCATTGTGTGACAACCAAAACATTTCCAGATTTTTACAATTTTCATAGAATTTCTCATCCCATTAGATGCATATCTCCTAAAGGCTACCTGATGTGATCCTGAAGGTAAACCAGGGTGGCTTGGAGAATATCAAGCAGTGCAATGCCATATGCAGAGTGCTGAATGTGGATACTTTGGTAACACTGGCAGTATGAGCATGCAAGCAAATTGGGAAATGATGACAGAGAAACCCTATGGAATTGAAAACTAAAGGAATAGAAACTGTATCCTCATTGAATAAGACAGACAAAAACACAGAACAAAAGAAAGAAGAGTGACAGATTTACCTTATGGCACAAACAGCTAGCACTGCTTCACTAACCACCAAGTTACACCACCTGTACCAACTGGAAGAAATTCTCTCATGTCCTACAAGGAAAGCAAGCAAAAACCCACAACAAACAAGCAACACCTCCCCCCCAGAAAAACCAACAAACCCACAAACAAACAAACCACAAAACACCACCACAATAACAAAAAACCCCAAAGCCTAAGAAAAATCCAAGGAAAAATATCTAGGAATAAATAATAGTTATCAACTAACAATTGTTGACGTGAGTTAGTGACCACATTGGTCCTACAACTCTTCAGGTATCAAGGAAAAAAAAGTCATTACCCAAACTGTTGCTAAAAGCATTTCTCTCCAGTTATTAAGGAATGCACAACTGCTAATTATTAAAGAACTTTCAGCATTCGCTGAATTTTGCAGTTTGCTCTGGCAGTCTTTCACAATTTCATTTAACACCACATTTCACAAGCTTTAGCCAATGGATGTGTTTACAGATGAATCACGAATGTGTTAATCATTAATCTCTGCCCTAGTGTCATTCATCTTGTACTCCACTTTGAAGCACAATTTTGTAATCAAAAATTGTCATCCAGCACATACAGAAGAGAGGAATCTCCATGGAAATTCCCATCCTTCTGCACTTGGCATCTAGACAAATGAAAGAGTTTTAACAAAACTGACATGGCTTTTAATGACATCTACAGAGAAACTGCCTCTGTAAACTATTTGCTGAAATTAGTTACAAGTAAGGCCAGAATCGACTGACTATGTTTTATACCTGCATTTCTTTGTAACTCTCTGATGGATTCCTAAACCACTTTGAAACATGGCAGGTATATACAAATGACAGCTGGAATTAAAGGAACTGGGTCGAATTCAGCATAAATGCTCTGACATCTGTAACGGTGACAGGCTATCTGAAGAACTTACAAGTAATGCTAAAGGTCCTGGATTGCTTTTACACATTACAGCACACCCTTCCTCGGACAACAGTTGGTGCTTGTGAACTTTGCAGAGACAGCCAGCAAGTACAACGGGGTGTTTATATGTCAGCTTGGCGACTGTTTCAGCAGTTCTCACTGCTTCAGCCTTCTTTAGAAAATAACACTTGCTAAAACATCAAATCATACTTTATTTATTAAGGAAAGAGAGGGAGTGGTCTGACAATTTAAGTTTAGAGAACTGCCGTTCTGCCCTGGTAGTAATACTAGTAAAGACAGCAGCAGCTCTGAGAAGCCACGTTATAAAATGAAGCAATGGACTGTAGAAGAAACTCTGTCTCATTTCCCATCAGGAAAACACACTGACAGCTCAAACCTTCCGCTAGAAGCTGCCAACTCTTCTGGTAAAAGGCGTCACTGCTTTGCAACTAGGAAATACTTAAGGAAGTTACAGAATGTGGACGAAGACATGAATAAAAAAGCGCACAAATAAAAGTACGTTTTAGACTTCTAATCAGAAAATCTCTTCATCACGGGAGAAAACACAATTTTTGAAATACCGATAAACAAGCGCCATTGGAACAAAACCACAGACACTACATTTGATGTTATGGGTTGGCATTCCCTCGATTTCTCGGCAGCACAGTTACGATAAAACATGACGAGGCCACATCACACGCCCGTACTCCTAAGTTTTGCAAGAGAAAACCCGTGACGGGATTACTCCGGACGGAAGGTATCCATCCCCACCACGGCACTTGGGACAGCTCCAGAAGTTAAATACCGGGCGGACACCGCGCCCTGCGCGCTCACCGACGCGACTCCCGCTCCCCGGCAGGATGCGGGGCGGCGGCAGCCGCTGCCCGTCTCAGCAGAGCCCGCAGCCGCCGCGGGCGCCGGCGCTTCGGTCCCGGGGTCCGCCGGCAGCAGCCTGCGGCGGACACGCCCGGTGCGCGGCCAGCGGGCTGCAGCGGGCTGGCAGCCAGCCCCGGGATGCGCCTGGCTCTGCCCGAGGATGCCACCGGCAGCTCTTCGCGCTCGGCACGCTCCGAGGGCAGGAGCGGGTACTGCGCCTCGCACAGCGCCAGGCATGCGAAGCGCGTCCCGCGCTGCCCTTCCCCTCCCCGCTCCGCTAACAAGCCCGGGACGAGGGGACGAGGGGTCCCGGCCCGTCCGCCCCCTCCGACGCCGCGGGGAGAGCGGGTGGCACGGCCGTGAGCCGCCACCGTACCTGCAGGACACGGAGAGCTCCACCTTGGTGGCCGGGATGCTGGAGCTGAGTACGTTAAAATCCCCCACGGACGCCATCTTCGGAAGCCCACCGCTTCTGCCCGGCTCCCGCTGCCCCGCCGGCTTCTCCAGCCCGAACATGGGACAGAGCGGCGCGGGTGGGAACGAGGAAGGGAGGGCGGGAGGAGGCGGCGCCTATTGGTCTCCACAGCGCGACGGCGCTGCCGCCCGTGGCGCGGAGCCGGGTCAGCCCCGCTCCGCACCCGCGGGAAGCGCTCGCCGACTGGAGCGAGGCGTGGCGTCAGCGCGAGCCGGGCGTGCCCGCCCCGGGCGCGGGGAGCCTGGACGGCCCGAGCGAGGGCACGCGCCGCAGCCCTCAGGGCAAATGCGGCACCGGAGCCGTCGCGGCCCCAGAGCGTGCGGGGCGGGGAAGTGCCCCGGTGGAGGCGTGCCCAGGGTGCGGTCCCGAGTGATTTCGCTCCCGCGCCTCTCCAGTTTCTTCCCCCCTGGCTTCTGCACGGAAACTCCCGCTCCGTCCCGTCCCGTCGGATGTCCGGGCAGTCTCCTCCCTACGCGTTAGTGAGTGGGGAATCTCCAAGGTGTCTTCCCCTTGGCTCTTGCACGGAAACTCCCGCTCCGCTCCGTCCCGTTCCGCAGGCTGTGCGGGGAATCCCCTCCTTCCATGTGCGGATCCCCGCGCCCCGAGCAGCTGCAGCCGCAGCTGGGGGCTGCGTGTGGGCCAAACTGCAAGGCCCGGCGCGGGGTTATTAATTTTCCCGGGGCCGCCACCGCAAAAGCCCCGGGCGGCGAGCGCGAGGTTTGCGGGAGCGGCGGGGCAGGCCCGGTGCCGCCAGGGGGCGCGGCGGAGCGGCCCGGAGGGTGCGCGCTCCTCGGGGCGGTCTCCGGCAGAGGGAAGACCTCGGTGTGAGTGCGTCAGGAATGCCAACAGCCATTCCAATTGCGCAAAAGTCGAGGGAAAAGAGGTGAATTTATCTTGGGTACTGTGTGCATTGACACGCTGAAAAACGGGGGTTTCACTCTCTGACACGTGCGCAGACACATTCCTTTTTTTCCCCAGGATCACTAAACCAGTTGCCCTGAATCTGTTCATATTAATTCACAATAATCACAACAACTCCGTCATCTTATATGTAATGTGTACAATTTGTATCCATTATTATGGCATATAAGTAGTCCTCAATATTTATTTCTCATCATGGCAGTTTGAAAAGAGATGGAAGTGCTACCATTCCCATGTCACAGGTGGGAAGTTAAGGCAAAGGCAAATTAAATGCCATGTTTGTAGCCACGCAATATACAGGACAGGTCGAAGATATCAACCCAAAATTATATACTGAATTTCTCTACTCCTCTGTCAATAGTCTTACATACAACAATAAAGAAGTTTAATGTGTTTACTTGTAAGAAAAAAAAATTAACTCCAAAGCCACAATCACCAAAATACATTAATTTTGAATTTCATTTCTAGATTCTTGTTGCTGTAATTCAAGTTCAGTGCTCGATCTCAGGTAATACATCAAAATAATGATAAGAGAACCTGAATGTCAACACCTGGTTAGCTCGTAGCAAACAGAAGGAACAGCAGTGGTAATGCAGAAGACAGTAACATATTCTTATGAACAGAGATATACTTCCTGTGCACAGCACAAAGCTGAAACATAACTCCAGTGGCAGAAACTCAAGGAAGATATCACGAATATTTTATTCAAAAATTTCTGACCACATCCCAGATCTAAGCTTCTGGCTCTTTGTTTTCAGGAGATTATCAACTGAAGCGTCATTTCTTTATTTTCATTCTCTTGTCCAGAGCAATTTGTTAAGCACAGAGCAATTTCTCATCAGGTATCTCTAAAGTACTTCCTCTTAAACCAATCTGTCTAAAGTTGTCAGTGCAGCCGAGAAACCACATACCTTCACAAGTATTCTAGGTATGTCTGCAGGCAGCCAAACCAGTAAGCCTACAGCTGAAATTGCTTTAAAAAGCCACACCACGAAACTCAAACAGAAAAACAAGAAAAATTTAGTTCACTTCTATCTTTGTCTGTACAGTGGTGTGAAGGGATGGGTGAAGGACCAGTGATGACTTGAGAGGCTAATGCCAAGTACAAATAAGCTACTAGATGACTAAAAGCTAAAGAACAGTTTTTAAGAAAAAAAACCTGTTTTTCAGCTTTATAATACAGTTCATCCCTCTTTTATAATCCACTATAAGGTACTAAACATGATCACTGTTTCCCACAAGGCATGGCATGAATAACCAGAAACGTGTGAAGCGTTATTATAATAAGGATAGTACATCACTATAAATGATATAACTGTTACAATAATATACGTGTGAGTAACCTAAAAGTGTATTGTGTGACATGATTTTACATTATTCTCTACTAATCCACTTTACTTTTGGTTATGTGGGGGTTTGTTTTGATCCTTTTTTATATTACCTGATCTTAATATTTTATTCTACTTAGAAAAATGAAAATTGTTGGCGATTGCTGATTCCATAAATAGATCACCCTATGAAAATAATGGAGGAGTTAAGGAAATTCAAGTCTTCAGTGTTGCTGGGGAGATATCCATCTTTTCTCATCACGTTTATAAAGGCACAACTGTTTTGTCTTTTAATGTTTCAGCTTAGAGTAAGTGCATAATTCTTATACACTGAGAGTGATTTATATGGGAAATGGAAACAAAAAACTAAACCAAGAGGTAGGTGAAAGATATGCACCAATGGGACTAAATATACATTATTATCATTCCAGAGAGACACCTTGTATTTTCTCATGCTTAAATGGCACTAAGGTATGGGGACTGGAACAATGCCCAAGTATTAGGACTGAGGCAGCCTTAGTATCTGAAATTTATATACAAAATACCTATCAGATTAAAGTGCAAAAAGAAACATAAGAGCTGTGTGTGGTATATGGTAAGCTGACATTTGAATGACATCAGTGACTCTCAGAAAATTTTGCAATGGAAAACAGGACATATTTTCCTTGCTTTCTTTTGTGATTGTTACTTTATTATTACTAGCTGTTGCTAATTATCAGATACCTACATAACTTGTTTCAATACCCGCTACCTAATTTAAGGAATGAGGGATAGATTTGCAGTAATTATAGCATAAACTATGAACAAACTAGAGATTCCAGAATAGCAGTAATGCGTAACACTGGATGATTGCTTTAAAACATCACAGCTTCCAGGTTTCAGCAGTATAATTGAAGCCGAATGCCACAGGATGCAAACATTGATTACTCCCCTCCACCCCCTCAGCTTTCTGCCTTGTAGATCATTATTAGACATCTCAAAAAAGAAGTTTAATGATTAAATCTTTGCACTACTAAAAAAAATAAACCACATGCAAAACCAATGCAGACTAATCTGTAGGAAGTTAAGGAACTGGAAATGGCATCTATTCTAGTTATGTGGTAGAATAGGTGGATGATTATAGAAGTGAGCTTCAGCATTATTGAAACAGAACAATGTGACTACAATGCATTTTCATGACAATGACATGCCTCCTCAGTCTGTATTTGTGATGAACATACCATATTCCCTTGTTCTTTTTCAAGTATCCGTTCAATTGTTCACTCAAGTAACATTAATCAAATGTCATATTTTTATCCTGGCTGCCACCAAACTGTTTCTTTCAAAAACCTGAAGAATAGAGTGAACTTGGCCATAACTTGGTCCTTTCTGATAACTGAACATAGCGCTGAAACAATTCCAATATCCTAATGTACACTACAGTTTGAGAATTGTTATATCTTTCTTTCCTGCTTTTGATTAATATAGTTAATTTCCTCCTTCTTTGCTAGTGCTGATTGTTTCAATCCATTGAACAAAGACAAGGAATTTAGTATTTGCTGGGACAAGTGGAACCATCAGTGCCACCGTCACTACTGGAACCATCGGCAGGAACTGTGGCTGAATACAGAACCATAGGCTTTACAAACCTCTGTAATAGAACATGCTGACGGATACATTCAGTCCCTTTATTCTTCTAGGATGAATTATCTCCTATAACTCCATGATTTTGTGATCTGCTTTCAAAACACACAAATACTGATGAAGCTCTATTTTTGTGAAAGTAAAGTCTAAGGGAGGTGTCAGACTCAGAGGTTTGACGTAAAGAAAAACTCTCCACTTTAAGGTTTTCACTTTAAACACTAGTTTTTCAAGGGCTAATGTCTACAGTCTCACAGGTGTCAAAGAGAATACATTCTTCTGTAAAAAGTATCTGGGCCTTCTGTGTTTAAAAGCCTTTGAAACCTATCCTCACTGTCTGCATAAGAGCATCTCCGTTGTGAGGACCCAGAAAACCTTGTCACCATGGCATAAGCTGAGGAAGGTTAGTGAGTCATCAGTGTAGAGACAGCTGATAATTTCACCCTTTCTGTACCATGATGAAATTAGTAATGCATTTGTTTGTATACTTCTCTACTGTTTCACTGCAGAATAAAATCACAAAGTATAAATACCACTTCCCCTCTTCAAACACACAAAGGACAGCTATCTAACAAATACTCTTGTCTCA